TTGTTCTTCTTTTCATAACCACTTAGAAAACCCACTAAATGAGTAAAAAGCAGTAGGATATTGGAGAATTTTACCATGTTGGCACCCAGTCGTGACAACACTGCTTCCAATTCCTTCGCAGTGCTCTTGGGTGGCACAGGAATAGTTTCTTGTTTGAGAATTGGACCTACATCAAACCTAGCAAAAAATCAAAAGTAAATAACAATGATTACTATTTCCTGAATCAATGTTTGTCTACACACAAAAAGATACAAGCTGGGTACAGTGGTCTGCATGCCTATAGTCTCAGTTGCTCAGGAGGCTGAGGCAGCAGAATTTCGTGATCCCTGGAGTTTGAGACCAGCCTGGGCAACACAGCTAGCCCTTATCTCTTAAAAAATAAAAAAATAAATAAAGACAGTTTATACTGGCTATTAATTTGGCTGTTAGCCATTAGCAAGGAAGATACGTCAGTTTGAAAGATGGGAAAACAAAATATGGCCTGTATTTAGAGTCTAAATTTTTTTCCTAAAGCGAAGAAAGGATACAGTTGCGTATCAGGAATTTAATTACAATTACAGAAAAATTATACCATCAGTAATAGCATGAAAAAAATCTCTGTATATGAAAAGCATAAGGCAAAGAATTTATTTTCCATGGAAGTACAGTTAGGATATTCATAATTATTTCTTTCTATAGTCCCTTCCTCAAAGGATAACAATTTTGCCTAGATTATCACCATGGGAGATTATAAGTAGGGCCAGGCGCGGTGGCTCATGCCTGTAATCACAGCACTTTGAGGGATCGAAGTGGGCGGATCACGAGGTCAAGAGATCGAGACCATCCTGGCCAACATGGTGAAACCCTATCTCTACTAAAAATACAAAAAATTAGCTGGGTGTGGTGGCGTATGCCTGTAGTCCTAGCTACTCAGGAGGCTGCAGCGGGAGAATCGCTTGAACCTGGGAAGCGGAGGTTGCAGTGAGCTGAGATCACTGCACTACATTCCAGCCTGGGTGACAGAGTGAGACTTCGCCTCAAGAAAAACAAAAAGTAAATGCAAGTATATTTGCATTCCCACAAGTCTGACATTTTACATCAAGTTCTGTAAACACTGGCCATGGGTTTTCATGAGAAATATGCTTTATTTAAATTTTTTTACTTTGTGTTTTTGTTAATTCTATTTCTAACCTAGGAGCTTTAATAATATGTTTATCGTGAAAAATTGCAAACATTCACAAAAACAGAGTGAACAGTCTAATGAATCATCATACACACATCATTCAGATTTTTTTTTTTTTTTAGACAGGTTTTTGCTCCATCGCCCAGGCTGGAATGCAATGGCGTGATCTTGCCTCACTGCAGCCTCAACTTCCTAGGCTGAAGAGATCCTCTCACCTCAGCCTCTGAGTAGCTGGGACTACAGGTGTGTACCACCACACCTGGCTAATTTTTTAATTTTTTATATGTTGCCCAGGGTGGTCTTGAACTCCCGGACTCAAGTGATCTTCCCACCTCGGCCTCCTAAAGTGTTAGGATTACAGGCATGAGCCACCATGCCTGGCTCAGATTTTAGAACTACCAAAGTTTTGCCACGCTTGTCTCATCTACTCCCTCTCTTGTTTTCTGAAGTAAGTTAAAGCAAATCCCAGATACCATGTTGTTCTTGTGAACTTGTGAATTATGCTTTTCTAAGGGGAAATTAGGTGGTAACAGGCAGAGACTGAATAAACTCTCAAGTAATTCTAAATAATTGTTTCTAAACAATTGTTCTAAATTGTTTCTAAATTGTTCTGTAGGTATGACAGGACAAAATGAATGTTTTAGGACAATTATATTGCATATTGATATACAATATATTCTCATTTCAGGTTCCAAAAATTTTTTGGCCACAGTTTAGAAACCAAGGCCAGCAAAACCAAGATTCAAAACAATTAACATACAAAAATCGATCTCTCATTTAAATAATATCTTTTATAGAAATCCAAGTATTAATAATATAACTGATTTCAATTAACAAATTAAAATTTTCATATGAACTTTAAAGAGACCCTACATAAATACCAAAAGACATATAGTTGATGTTAGAAACCAGGAGAAAACAGAAAGGATATAAAAGCAAACAGAAGCACTCTGGAGTCACAGAAATTAGTGAGCACCACGCATTCATCCATTGCCCCCCAAACAGGCTGACATCAACATTTAAAATCACAAAAATCTCAAGAAAGAAAAATACATGCTACCTTTTAGGTCTAATTTGCATAATTGTTACTCCAGTAACTGTGTCTCCGTGAAGCACTGTATGGATTACAGGGGCTGGGCCACGCCATCTCGGGAGGCAACTGGGATGGACATTCAATATGCCACTGAGTTAGAAGATGCAGAAATTAGTATGTCAGTGGGCTTTACCACTTTGTTACCAGTACCTAAGCTATTATGCTACTTTTCATTATGAAACTTTCCCAGAAATTTGGAAAAACTGACAGTTAAATCTAAGTCTTGTATCACCTGAAACGAAAAAAGTTAGATGTTAATTCTCTTATCGTAAGAAACCAATGAAATTTAATTAAAAACAGAACCAGGACAACTATTCGCTGTCTAAAGATGTTCTGGCTGGGTGCAGTGGCTCATGCCTGTAATCCCTGCACTTTGGGAGGCCAAAGCGGGCAGATCACCTGAGATCGGGAGTTTGAGACCAGCCTGACCAACATGGAGAAACCCTGTCTCTACTAAAAACACAAAATTAGCCAGGTGTGGTGGCACATGCTTGTAATCCCAGCTACTCAGAAGGCTAAGGCAGGAGAATCGCTTGAACTTGGGAGGCAGAGGTTGTGGTGAGCCGAGATCACGTCATTGCATTCCAGCATGGGCAACAACAGCGAAACTCTGTCTCAAACAAACAAACAAAAAAGATGTTCTACAACAGCCCATGATGTCTGGGAGTTTTTAAATAAAATTTTAAAATGCATTTATGACTATAAGAGAACCACTCAAACCCTATTATGCATCTCACGAACAATTCTAATTTTATAGTTTAGTCACATAACTATCCTCATTTCACTTGGTTTACATACAGACTGCCTAAAATAAGCTTTTTCTTTTTTTTCTTTCTTTATTTAAAATTTTTTTTTGAGACAGGGTCTCGCTCTGTTGCCCTGGCTGGATGGCTCACTGCAGCCTCAACCTCCCAAGCTCAAGAGATCCTCCCACCTCAACCTCCTAAGTTGCTGAGACTACAAGTGCATCCACCATATCCAGATACTTTTTTATTTTTTGTAGAGATAGGGTCTTAGGATGTTGCCCAGGGTGATCTCCAACTCCTAGCTTCCAGTGACCTGCCTCAGCCTCCCAAAGTGCTGGGATTACAGGCGTGAGCCACCACGCCCAGCCTAAAATAAGCTTCCCACCAAATGATCCATTCACCTTTGCTGTTTATCCCAATATACCTATCATCCACTCATGTGCAATTTAAATACTTTATTAATCTGTCATTAGTTTAATGATGCCTCCATCAGCATGATTCTATGCACTTGGGAGCATGTACATATGAGAAAGTCTTATATTCTAAGTCTCACAGTTCAGCCCAATCCAACAGACATTCACTGAGCACACTCATGTGTGGGCACTGTTCTAAGTGTTAGGCATACAAGCAGCAGTGAATCAGATAGAAAAAAAAACCTGCCCTCAGGGAGTTTATGTACAAAGAGTGGGAGATAAGCAAGAAAAAACAAAATATGTAAAAGGTTTTGCCAGATGATGCTGAGGGCTACGGAGAAAATAAAGCAAAGAGGAATATGAGGGGGACAGATTACAATTTTAGTAGTGGTCAGAGAAAGCTTTCACTTGAACAAGAACATGAAGAAGGAAATAACTATGCATATATATGGGAGAAAAGCATTCCAGGCAGAGGGGACATTAAGTACAAAGATCTCGAAGAAGGTAAATGCTCGGCAAGTTCGAGGCACAGCTGGGAGGCCAGTTAGGCCTGGCCTAACTTTTATTCTGAGTAAGACAGAAAACTACCAGAGGATTTTGAGCAGAGTGACATGATCTGACTTATGTTTTAAAAGGATCACTTTGAGGCAGGGTACAGTGGCTCATGCCTGTAACCCCAAAACTTTGGTAGGCCAAAGCAGGAAAATTACATGCAGCCAGGAGTTTGAGACCAGCTTGGGCCACGTAGCGAGACCCCTGTCTCTAAAAAAAAAAAAAAAAAAAAAAAGAGCTGGGTGTGGTGGCACATTCCTATAGTCCTAGCTACTCAGAAGGCTGAGGCAGGAAGATCCCTTGAGTCTGGGGCTGCAGTGAGCTATGACAGCAACACCCTACTCCAGCCTGGGTGACAGCAAGACTCTGTCTCTAAAAACAATAAAATAGAAATAAATAAATAAACAAATACAGGATCATTTTGGCTGCTGGATTGGTAAAAGACTGAGAGGGCCAAGGACAGAAGTAGGGACCAGTTAGGAGGCTTCCTAACTCCTAACTGGAGTAATGCTTAGTAATGTAGGCAAGAGTGGCAGCAGTGGAAGTGATGAGATATAGATAGATTCTACACAGATTTTGAAGGCAGAGCCAATAGGATTTACTGATGGATGGGATATGGGGTGTAACAAATCAAGCACGACTCCAGGATTTTGGTGCAAGAAGCTAGAAGGATGGAGTAGCCATTTACTGAGATAAAGATTTTAGGAGATGCTTTGGGTATCTTGAATGTAAAGCGGCTATCAGACATCCAAGCAGAGCTGTGGAGGCAGTAGGTATTAGGGGACTAGAGTTTGGGGACAGAGCTGAGCTAGAGGGACCAATTTGGGTGTTTTCAGCATATATATGGAATTTAAACGAAGGTGGATGAAAGTTTACAGAGGGTGATAAGGAATTAAATACATTTTGACAACTCATGCCACAAATAAAATAAAATGTTCTTTAGTACTTGAAAAGAAAATATCAGGCCGAGTCATGTGTCAGCCAAATATGGCTGTGCCCAGGCAAGTTGAGCAAAGGCTTCAGTGAGCCCCCGCATGGCTGAAGATGACTTGGGGAGGCACACCAGCTGCTGGGAGAAGAGCATAAGGCTCAAGACGGAAAATCATAAATCCAATACTATCAAGGAAAACTTAACAATTTTTGATGTCATAACCAGAAAAACTAACCAGCTTCCACAAGCAGAACAGAATCTACCTGAACAGAGATCAGCATATGTTGGATTTAATGCTGCCCTCTGTGGCCTCATAGCAAATAGTCTTTCTCAATGCATCTTGAACATGGCACAGGCTCTTATAGCTGTTGACTTACCAATGGCAGTGATCCCTTTTCTTACAACAAACACAGCTTACGAAAGTTTTGTAAATTTTCCTTTGAATACAGGCGATTTGAATTGTGAAACCTGTACCATAACACAGAATGGATTGGTTGGTCTTGCTTTTGGTGGTCTATACCCTGTTTTCTTGTCTATACCTGTGACTGGAGGCCTAGCAGCCTGGTATGAATCAACTCTGTTACCAGAGAAAGGGAACATCTTAAGTTACTGGATTCAAATTTCTAAGCCTGTCTTTAGAAAGATGTTATTTCCTATTGTGTTCCAGACTGTGCTTGCAGCATACCTTGGGTTTAAACAATATGAACTACTTATAAAGGCCCTTCAGTTACCTGAACCTGGCAGAGAAATTCATTGACTTTAAGCAAACATGTACACAAAAATAAAATGGTAAAAAAAAAAAAAAAAAAAAAAAAAATTACAGAAAACATAACTGGAGTTCAAATTATCACATTTTAGATACAAGGCCCATTTATAAAGACCAAGGTTTCTATACTGTATTTCCTTACAAATAAAACTTACTAGGGAAATTTAAGAATAAGAGCCTCACTCAAAAGTCGGCCAAACGAAGCCACTACTCCAACATCATATTCTCCAGATCCCACGTCCGGCCACTCGTATATTGGAAGCTGAGACTGCACAGCATATTGCTTCACTGGCAGTCCTCTTGGTGATAGGGAAGGCATTGTGACCACCTCCAGTTTGTCGATTAACTCTTCCTGTTTGTTTTCCCTAAGTTAGATTGGAAGAAAAGTATGAGTGTTAAGGCAATGACTCAAAGCTAAAACGACTTCACATATCGCTAAGAATGTGCATGATTAAACTCATGAAGCATTTAGGGCTAAATGATTAAAACTAATGTGAGAGACTGAGTTTTCATTTTTTCTTTTTTGAGATGGAGTCTCACTCTCTCACCCAGGCTGGAGTGCAGTGGAGTGATCTCAGCTCACTGTAACCTCTGCCCCCGTGGTTCAAGTGATTCTCCTGATTCAGTCTCCCAAGTAGCTGGGATTACAGGCATGCACCACCACACCCAGCTCATTTTTGTGTTTTTTAGCGGAGGCGGGGTTTCCCCAGGTTGGCCAGGCTGGTCTCGAACTCCTGACCTCAAGTCATCCGTCTGCCTCCACCTCCCAAAGTGCTGGGATTACACACGTGAACCACCATGCCCGGCCTCAGTTTTCATTTTTTATTTAATTTTCATTACTTAAAATGTAAAGAGCGACACATGGCTAGTGGCTACTGTTTGAACAGTATCATTCTAGGGATTTCCTGTGCATACAGAAACATATATAGTATGGATACTTTACACAATTGGGATATTACATACTGCTTTGCATTTTTTTCCTCTTAACAATGCTATTTATGCCATGATGTGAGTCTTCTTGAAAAATGGGTTACATATACATATACTTGTATTTGCACTGAACATTTCTAGAAGGAACTGAAAACAGTGGCTGTCTCTGGATAAAGGAACTGGGAACTACTAAAGAGAGGCGGAAGGAAGTAACTTTTCACTGTATATCCTTTGAATCCATGGAACTTTTTTTTTTTTTTTTACCATAACCATATCATCACACTACTTTTTAAAAAACAAAAATACATAACATGGGCATCATTCCATGGCAGTACATGTAGCACTACCTCATACTTTTTACCTGCTGCATAGTATTCTAGTGCCCAGGGGAGTATATTTATTAAACAGGTATTGTATGCACATGTTGAGGAGTTATGAGGAGTATGTCCTGGGGCACTATAAAGAAAGCACAGGAATAATGGAGCTGCCAAGTGAAGCATCATCAGAAGTATCAGGATAGGCCAGGAATGATGGCTCATGCCTGTAATCTCAGCACTTCGGGAAGCCAAGGTGGGAGGATCGCTCGATCCCAGGAGTTTGAGATAAGCCTGGGCAACGTGGTGAAAACCCGCCTCTACAAAAAATTTAAAAATCAGGCGTGGTGGTGCGCGCCCGTAGTCCTAGCTACTCTGGAAGCTGAGGTGGGAGGACTGCTTGATCCTTGAGGTCGAGGCTGCAGTGAGCTATGAGCTGGCCACTGCACTCCAGCCTGGGCGACAGCGTGAGACCCCGCCTCAAAAACAAACAAAAACAAAAGTGTTGGTATAAATGTATAAATGCAGTGAGAGACTCATGTGACAACAGCAGCCCATGGAGGATGTGCAAAGGGAACACAGGGTTTCCTGCCAGGTGTGTGCACAGAGGGGTGTGTGGAGGGAGGAAAACCACACAGGGGATTGACAAAGGATTCAATACATGAGGGGCTGCAGTGAAGTATTTGTAGGGAAGAGGAGATAGGGATGACAAAAAAAGTGGAAGGGGGACTGCGTCAGGAAAAAACAGAATGGGGAAATAAAAAACATTAATTGGGAAAAAGAGAGAAGTATATATGGTCTTGCCACCACATACCATGGACTCTCAGGACTAGTTGGATTTCAAATAATTTTCTTTCCCAGTAAACAAGACTTGTTAAATATTATGAATACTAAATGTATACCTAACAGTTCTGATTTATAAATTTATCCTTTTGAAAACAGGAAGCTTGTGGACTATGTCCTTGTATACAAGGAGCACAGGGGGAGCAAAAGAGCAAGACATGGGTGTGCCGAAGGATGGGGGCAGGAGGAGGAAATGCAAAGCAGGGAGAACTTTGAAGTGGGACCGGGTTTTAGTCCGAACCACCTCGGCTGATGACCTTCGGCAATCGCATCACCTCTCTGAGCCACAGATTCCCCACACGCAAAACAGGCAGGGAGGCCGTGGGACTGGCCCGGGGGATGCAGGCAGAGCGCCCAGCCCCGGCTAGGCACAGCGTGGGTGGCGGGGCGTCTGGAGAACCCACAGAAGCAGCGGGGAGTGGGGGTCGCAGACCGCAGGGACTAGGCGCCCAAAGGCTGACCGGCGGGAATGGCGCACCTTGCGGGCGCCGGGAGACGCCAAGATCTGGGCCCACACCGCTATGGCGCCCCTGCTTTCCGCGACCAGAAGTCCAAAACCCTCGGGGCCGGCCGCCCGGGCGCGGCCTGGGGGCCTTCGGCGGCCGGGTTCCCGGATCCCTGGCCCGGGTACCTGGCGGCGTGCAGCGCCCGCAGCGCCTCGCGGGCGAACTGGTCCGTGCCGAAGAAGAGCACCCGCCAGGGAGGCTTCTTGCGGACTCTGGAGTCCTCCCAGCCGAGCTGGGCCAGGGCTCGCCACTGGGGACTCGGCCTCCCACGCCCAGCGCCATGAGCCAGCGGAGGACCCCAACAGCACCGCACCAACACCCTCATCGCCTAGGCTGCCGGCGGCCCGCTCTGCGCAGGCGCGTCGGGGCGGGGACAAGGGAGTAGCCTGGGAAAGGCGGGGCTTGCCTGCTTGGAGGCGGGGTCTGGTTGGAATTGGTGAACGAATTTGCCCGCTACAGCGGCCCTAGATTTTTGTTCTGTTTATTTGCACTATGTAGCCAATCCTCCCGATTAAGTCTTTCTTTTCTTTTTAAAATCATTTATTTATTTATTTATTTATTTATTTATTTATTTATTTATTTAAAAATTTTTTTTTCTTTCAGAAAGGGTCTTGCTCTGTCGCCCAGGATGGAGTGCTGTGGCGCGATTACGGCTCACGGCAACCTCACTGCTCCTGGGCTCAAGGGATCCTCCCACCTCACCTTCCGGAGTAGCTGAGGTACAGGCACACATCACCATGGTCGGCTGATTTTTTTGTAGAGACAGTATCTCACCATGTTGCACAGGTCTCAAGCAATCCTCCCGCCTCGGCCTCCCCAAGTGCTGAGATTACAGGCGTAAGCCACTGCGCCGGCCCAGGATAAGTCTTTTGGTAACAAATCGTACGTGTTTCAGACAATGAAACCTCATGTATGTAGTGCATGTCATTTTCTCAACCATTATAACCAATATTTGCTGAGTACGTTTTTGCTAAGCATTTTATATTCATTATTATGGTTAATCATCAGGTCAACCTTAGGAGGTAAATACTGTTACAACCACGTTACTGAACAGAATCTGAGGCTCTGTGAAAGTAAGGACTTATCAGTGTATGAGGTTCACACAGCTAGTAAATGACAGAGCAGAGGTGGGACTCTTGTAATTCCAAGGCTTGTGATCCTAGCCGTTTGGCCTTCACAGCGATCCTATGTATTAAGCAAGTCAATTACCCACATTTTGCACCTGAGGAAATTGAGGCTTAGTTACTTGCCTGCAATCACCTTCCTGAATCGAAGGTTCCATCTTTACTCCTCCCCTGTGGGTTCCTTTGCACACAGAAGGATACCATATAGGTGATTCCTAGGGAAAATGGACAGGGAACCTTATCCCCTGAAGACCTCTGAGGACCGTTAGTGCTTAGATTCTGTATCCCCAAAGCCTCCTTGAGTAGAATCAGACATCCATGAAACAGCATCTGAGCACAGACCTCAACCGAATTTTGTTCTAATCTAATTCTCACCACCTTTTCTTTTCTTTTTTTTTGAGACAGAGTCTCACTCTGTTGTCCAGGCTGGAGTGCAGTAGCACGTGATCTTGGCTCACTGCAACCTCCGCTTCCCAGGTTCAAGTGATTGTCCCACCTCAGTCTCCCAAGTAGCTGGGACATGCGCCACTATGCCTAGCTAATTTTTGTATTTTTAGTAGAGATGGGATTCACTATGTTGACCAGGCTGGTCTTGAACTCCTGACCTCAGGTGATCTGCCCGCCTTGGCCTCGCAAAGTGCTGGGATTACAGGCGTGAGCCACTGCGCCTGGCCATCTCACCACCTTTTCCCATCACACAGTCTTAAACCAGTGACCCTGGACCAGTCCTTTTTCCTAATTTATGAGCTCTGCACATCCCTGCTCCTGCGCCTTTGCTCACGCTCTCCTTCCTAGACTGCCCTCCCACATCAATTCCTCTCTAAATTGTGTGCATTCTTCAATGCCAAGTTCAGACATTCATCCTGAAGCTTTGAGCTCTTGCCTCTTTAGATTATTCTTTCTCCATGTGCCCTGTTTTTGTTGTTGTTGTTGTTGTTCTTGTCTTTGTTTTTGTTTTTGTTTTTGAGACAGAGTCTTGCTCTGTCGCCCAGGCTGGAGTGCAGTGGTGTGATCTCGGCTCACTGCAACCTCCACCTCCTGGGTTCAAGTGATTCTCCTGCCTCAGCCTCCTGAGTAGCTGTGATTACAGGCACCTGCCACCATGTCTGGCTAATTTTTGTATTTTTAGTAGAGACAGGGTTTTGCCATGTTGGGCAGGCTGTCTCGAACTCCTGACCTCAGGTGATCCGCCTGCCTCGGCCTCCCAAAGTGCTGGGATTACAGGCATGACCCACCACACTCAGCCCATGTACCCCTTTAATACTCTGTAGGGACCCCCATTTCTCACATAGTTTGGTATTATTGAGGAAGATTTTCTAATGTATGCATAGACA